TACTACATTCCAATAATAAAGAAACCCCAAAACCCCAAAACCCCAAAACCCCAAAACCCCTCTGTTTGCCAATAAAATAGATAATAATGCACGAGAAACAATAATTATGGAATATAAATATAAACCTGCCTGTCATTATCATCTCTTTCAAGGTATTCCTTCTCAATAAGTCTCTCAATAGACTGCTTGATCATCTGTGGTTGTGGCTTGAAGAGGAAGACCTGCTTGATGACCTCAGTGATCAACTCTGTGTGTCTTTCCTTCTTTCTTGCCTTCATGATTCTCACAATCATGGCGTCCAGGACGAGAGCTCTTTCACTCTTGATCTCTTCCTCCACTTGGTTCTCAATATCCGTCTTCTTCTTGAGGTCTTTCTTCTTATGAGCAGTTTTTGGAATGAAGTTCACCTTTACAAGGTTGTACTTGAACTTAGGGTTCACTTCCAACCCTTCGTCAGGAGTAAACTTTGGCACTTTTGGCTTGTCTTTAGAAATGAGCTTCATCTTTGGGTTACACAATTGTTTGAGTTGTCTGGTGAGCTCTGCCTCAGGGAGTCCACTCAGCTCTTTGACTTGTCCTACGGTCAATTTTTGGTGTTCATTGAACAAAGATAAGATCACTGCTTGGTAACAAGAAACTGTAAGTGTATAAGTCTTTGCAAATGTCAATGTGTTCATTATAGCATTACAAGAGTTATACAACCACGACAAGTGTCTTCCACTATGCTTATCCTTATAGAATAAACTAAACTTTTGTGCACAATGAGACAGTTCTCCTGGGAGTTTACATGGATGTACATTCTGCTCTGGCCAAATTCCTGATGTTAGGATATCAACATTGATATTAACACCTTTGAACTCGGTAGTTCCACCGTTCTTTTTCTTAAAATCTTCCATAGTGTTCTTTGAGAGTTCCATATCAGTAAACATTCTTGACAATTTCTGAATAGTATTGAAACCACTCTCAATCTTTAGCTTAGAGATCATTGACTGCTCAGCATCAGTATTCAGAGAAGTCTTGTTCAATAGTCTTTGAGCCTGGTGCTTAGTGTATGCCTTAATGAAGATATCTCTGTTATGAAGGCACCTAAACAGTCTAATGACAGCATCAAGATTCTCTTCAATCTCGCTTTCGCTCATTCCTTTGATTCCACTCTTGAAAAGATGATCGCAGTACCCGGCCATGTACTGTGGTGTCTCTGAGAACTTATTCATGAAATTTAGGAAAGACTTGTCTCTAGTCTGGTTGAATTTAGGGTCATTATTAAAGCAGTTCATTACAATTTCATCCATCTCCTTCTTCAACTCAAGTAATTTCTGGGTGAATTTTACTGGATCCTTCTGTAATTCCTCATCATTGATCACAACTTGGCCTCTTGATTCAATATAAGGTCCCATTTCAAGAAGAATATACTTGAGAGTAGAATCGACTCTGGAGAAGAGAGTGTACATCTTTGAGAGTTCATCTAATTTGTTGTTCTTGAGCATTTCTTTACATCCTGTTCCCTCCTTATTAATAACATTTTGAGCATGCTGCTCAACTATCACATCATCAAGAGTCTGCTTGAGTTTAGATTTGGTCTTTGGATCCATATGCTCTTCAGCAATCTGCTCCTCCATGTCCAGCTTCTCAAGAGCAATGTTGATGAACTCTGGACAGTTGAGGGATTGAAGCCAGTCGTTGCATTTCACAGAATAGTATTCTTTAGTCTTAGATAAGAACGTTTTTTCAAACATTTCGTCGTATTCCTGGAGGTTCTTTTCTCCAGTCCATTGGAAGATCTCTCCTACCTTCTTGAGCTTGACATCTTTCTTGTAACCAACGTTGATAAAGGTCTCAATAGTCTTGTGAAGGGTATCCCAGTTGACATCTTCAAGTTCTCTGTGCTTAGTGACTTCATCCATCAGAGCATCAAGAAGCTTCTTCCTGATGTCAGTGAAGACAACCTCTCTGAAGGTCTTCAAAGAAACCAGGGAGGTGGAATCCAGCTGATTGAACATCAGATAGTACCTGTCAATATAATTGAACACCTTTGAGAGCCATCTTGCGAGGATAGTGAAGTTGTCCAGCTGTCTGATATACTCTCTGAGCAAGGGCTCACTCTGTAAATCTCCAATCTTAATACAAGCATCTCTAGAAATTAATTAGTAGGAATAGAAGAGGTTTCTTACTTCAGATGGTTCCTCATGGTCTTCTTATGGAATTCATATAACTCAGAAGCATGGTCCTTGTGATCTGCGAGCTTATAAACAATTCTAGACTTTGTTAGAAAAACCTCAGAATTAGAATTGGCAACTTTGCGAAAAGATTTGTTGCTTTACTCAAATCAAAAGTTTTGGAAAATTCAAAATGGGACAACTAAGAGCCTGATCCTTACGTGTAGCATTCTACAAATGGGGAATGTTCTTTCTTCATCTCTCCTGTTTCGAAAAAGACATAGAGATTGTCAATAAATTTGGTAATGGTCTTCATGGACTCTTTGAAATTGAGCTCTTCTTCAGCCATTTCTATATCAATTGATTAGTAAGTCAACTAGGAGCAATTCCATTGCTTAAAACAAAAGCGTGATTACAAATAAAGAGACCAAAATAGCTAGAAAAGATCTACAAGAGCTAGCCCTGAGGAAAATCTTTTCAGCTTGGTCACAAAATTGGGTTCCTTTTCAAATTTGGCCCCAAACTAAAAGAGCGAATTCATAGAAAGAAATGAGCATGCCATAGCTTCTCACAAAGCTTTAGAGTCTTCTTGGGAGCTAAACTATGGAAGAATAAGAAGATCTATCAAAAATATCCATTTTACTTACCTCTAAGTGTTAAACTTTATTAAATAAATATATATCTCTTCAAAAGAATTTAATTTATTTGGGGTTTTGGGGTTTTGGGGTTTTGGGGTTTTGGGG